TATATATATCTATAGTAGTGGATACGCAACCATTTTTTTTTAATATTCTCTACATTGTGGCTTAAGCTTTAGTGCCTTTTAAAAATAAATTGCTGTGCTTTTATTGCCCTTAAGAGAAAAAGCCTAAAGTTAGGTATCAGCTATAATTTTTATTTACGCCTGCTATCAACCCGTATTGATTAATACAGGGTTGTTTGCAACTTCCCACACATTAAAGTAAGGGGTTTAGCAATGAGATGGTACCAAAACATCCTTACTTATCTGTCCCTGTGGTATGTGCTATTAAGAACACACAGCTTCCATTACATTCTACAATATTGCCCAATCAAGAGGCTAGATACCACTAAAGCGAGGCTCGTTTGTTTTTTGAACTAGGAAATGTTCCTCAATGCTAACCCACACCTGAATGTGTTGTAGCTTCTTGGATCAAGTCTAAAGCTGACCATGCACCTATAGAGTTTCTGCAGATTTTCTGTGGCCAGATGGAAAAAGTGCAACAGATTCCTCCATCTACATTAAACTCTGTGAATGTAGGAATCTCCAACTGGGCCAAGCTTCAGTATCTTGCTAGTCGGCCCCACTGGCTGTCAAAATACCGGAACGATCTGATTGGATGCATGCATTGTTCAGGTATTTTGAGAGCCAGGGGCCGACTAGCAAGATACTGAAGCTTGGCCCAGTTGGAGATTCCTACATTCACAGAGTTTAATGTAGATGGAGGAATCTGTTGCACTTTTTCCATCTGACCATAAAAAATCTGCAGATAATCTATAGGTGTGTGGCCAGCTTTACAAGGCCGGTGGAACCTCAGACATAGCACATCCTTACTGGGAATGGTTGCTTCCTTTTATTCTTATTTTACTGTCTTTTATAAGACACACTGATAAGTCTTATTGCTTCCATGTGAAGTCACCATGATTACACTTTCTCTGAACCATTAGTCCTTCACCTACAGAAATATATTGTTTACTAAAGAGCAACATTGGTAGCTTTTTCAAGCAACAAAGTATATACCAGGAAGGCATGTATATCTTTTGATGGGTTTTATATTTGTTAAGGTCCACTTTAATTAAAGTAAAGGGTAATTTCACATGCATGGAAACATTTTAAGAGCATTCCCACTTTAAATGCAGCTATGTTGCATTGTTAAATTGAAAATCTTTAATGAAATTCTATTTTACCAATGTAGTACATTTCTTTTCTAAATAAATGATGGCCAGTCAGACAATATTTTTTCATGTGCAGTACATTATCTCTTAACATAAATAGTTGAAGTAAACGTTCCGCACTTCATAAGATAAAGATTGCTTGTGCAAGGAGTTGTAAATAAGAGTCATAACCAGTTTTATGGTGATTTCAGATTTTTAGAAGTCTTTCTTATCTATTGTCATTCTGCTAACCAATGGCTGACAATAGAAAAATACATGAGTGGAGAATTTCGTAAGTATAACAACAACAATGGAGATGAAATCAACCCCACTACTTTACTGGAGGAGGCTCTTTTGTCGTTTTCTCACTGGACCTATGAATATACAAGAGGAGAACTGCTTGTTCTTGACCTGCAAGGTAAAGTACTTTGTAAATTACATACAAAGCTCTATAGAACATGCAGTTCATTCATACAGTTATTCTTCTTAAAAGATAGATAAAACATAATTTAATAAGTCAGTTTTATGTTGGGATCCAATCATTTGTTTAAAAGTCCCACTCAAGTCACAATTTTGTATGTTGTATGTTGCTTTGGGTAGATTTCCTTTCCAGGGATAGGTGTAAAATAAAGCAGTGGCTTCTCCACTCGCTATCCTCTGCAAGCATTCAACTATCGGATTAGTCAAATGCTTGCTCCCCCTACTCACCACTCTTGTTGCTCCCATCGGCCCGTACGTTCTGTAGTGACATACAAGATAGTGGAAGAAATCACAACAGCCTATTAGTACAGTGCAAAACTCATCTGATGGTTGAATGCTTGCAACGTCTGAGGAGCATAGAATGTAGAAGTTGGCGGTAGGAGCTACAGTGGCTTAGTTGGGGGGGTGTTTGGGGTCTTTGACAGGTAAGCACTTTTGTTACAGTAACCCTGTAGTGAATTAAGATTTGGTCTAAAAAAAGTTAACAGCCAATTTTCGAGACATTGGTTCATGGTAAGTCAGTTGGTTCAGCATTTGGAAGATCTTGACAAATAAAATCGCCAAAAGTAAGATTTCTGTACCATGGTTCTTTTTTGGTACCTCTACTTTGAGGTTTTACTTCTCCTGTTACTGCAAGGGAAGTCTTACTCTGTGTATGATAAAAATGAAAACTCCAGAATGCAAAGGGAGGCAATCTAGTGGTAATGGCCACTTAAAAAAAAGCTGGTGATTAGACCTGAAAACATCCATAAAACATTTAAATTTATTGACTGGACTGACTGAGAATATTTTCATTGGCTAAACTTACCTATATTTAATAAAGTAGTGCAAATAATAATGTTTTGTGTGAAAATTGCAGCATCCCATAGCAAACAGTGGCAAATGATCTTTCACTAATCTCACTAAAGGCAAATCTAATGGCTTACTAGGGGTAATTTTTTACAATTGTTTCTTGGCTTGGCTCTTAAAGTCCACTTATAGAGACATTTAAATATCTGTGTGAAAAGAAGTGCAGTACCTATAGCAAACATTCAGGATCCATCTTATTTTAACCTGTTTTCAGTAAAGTGAACTCTGGTCGATCGTGGAATGTAAGGCCAGTGTGCATCAGTGCTTTGCACCATTTTTTATTGAGTAAGTCAGTAAGACCCCTTTCACACGGGTTGATCAGGAGAGGATACATGCACAGATCCTCTCCTGATCACAGCGGTATGGAGTGGATGTCACTGCTGTGACATCCGTGTCCATTCATATCAGATTACCCCCGATCTAGCACAATCCGGCCCGGTGAAACGGATCTGTTTGTTTTTACGGACCTGGCCGGAGTAGGGTGCACAGGGTGTAAACGGACAAGCACGCTAAAGCAGAGTCAGGAGCAAACCGTTGTCAGGGAGAACAGAAGATTAGCAGAATGGTCAGGTCGGTAACAGGAAGGAAGGTCAGAACGCAGCATCTTCGTAGTAGGAAGCTGATGATCACTTAGCACAGAGCATCAGCGAGTCACAGCCTAAATAGCCTGTCTGGCGCCAGAATCTGACATGTGTGCAGACCCGTCTGCATCTGTGCAGAAATCCAGGGCCAGGTCTGGCTCTAAGGTACATGTGTATGCGCAGGTGCTCATACAGCGCTCCTGGCAAAGGCTTCTTGACAGTATGGGATCGCAATACCTAATTATTGCAGAGATTTTATTTTTAAATAGACAATACGTCACGAAAAGCAACTAAAATAACAGGCCAGTGCTTATTTATTGCTACATTTGAGCCTCTGTGTGACTGTAAATATTTTGCTCACTTTAGACTAAGTGTAAGGTTTAATAAAATCTGTTGATTATCACAAACAGAAATCCTAAACTGCATGTACTTTATATATACAGCAGATGTCTCTCTCTCTCCCTCTCTCTCTCTTTAAAGGATTTTATACCATGGCAGCTTTATCTGGCTTTCCATATTTAAATCCCAAAGTGGCTTTTACGATTCACTGTTCAGAATCTATTCTATATGCCCCCTATTGTCTGTAAGGCTTCTAGTACATATGAGAACAAAAAAACACCATTTGGTCATTAAATGCTTTTAAAGTATATTTTGTGGGCCTTACTGTCTATATATTGTATAGAATTGACCAAAATGAAACACAGCTGAAATATCACTCTCACAAAGGGGTTATTAATCCACTTCGTTATCCTGTTTCTAGTATGCAATTATAAGATAACAATTGATGTTCTTATATACATGTATATTAAGAAACCTTAACGCAATACAGGATCACAGTGACAGCATTAATTGTGTGGTAAAGCAGTGGTGAATGAATTCACCAACATTCTGGGACTTCAGAAACAATCATTATTGATGGGTGACCTCAGATTTATTTTGGAGCCTCTGTCTTTTGTTAAGCTGTACATTAATGGCACAGTGGTGACAAAGCTTTGACACTTCAAACTTTTTTAACCGCCTCACCTATGTGTACTGACACAGCCCTCAGTGCTCATTTGGCATTCATGAACTGAATATATTTCTCTTGGTTTTCCTTACAGGTGTTGGGGAAAATCTTACGGATCCATCTGTTATTAAACCGGAAGACAAGCAGTAAGTTTAATCTTATTTTACAAGCTGCCACTGAAAATACAAAATCCGATGTAGCGTTCAGCCGAGATTGTCTGTCCATCTGTCCTCATCATGAGGCGGTTTTCTGCAGATTGCTGCCTTTCACATTACAGACCGCCTGTCTTAATCCACAATTAAACAAGCACAGTATATTTAAAAGTGTTTTACTGTTTGAATAATTGGAACAATTGTGAGTGTAATCAGCTAGAACATCTATATTTCCATGTTACCAGATGACAGAATAACACAAGCGCACAAATTAGTACAGCATCCACAAAATTACTGCTGTCATTATTTTATTTTTTTTCGTCGCTGTGGCAGACACAGCCTACTTTATGTGAGACTCTTTAGTTTCACATAAGCATCCTTTTATTTGTGAGTAGAACCGCAGAGCCTCATGGGAACTCTCATCTGGTTTCTGAGGGAGAGCTGAGATTGTACCCTGGGACCTATCTGAACTAGAGATGAGCTGTTGCTGTGTATACCACTTTGTTATTGGACTAATTAAATAGTTTCCACTTGTGTTGCATGAAATCACAACATTCCCAGAGAGTCTGTGCTTCCTAGCTAAAGACAATGCACATTACATGAATAACAGCAGAACAAGAATTTCATGTGCCAGATGCTGTATAAATGATTGTGCTTCCATGGATTTGCTTTAGAAAGAATTTTAGGTGCCAGTGATTTTCATCTGATATCACCACATTTTCAGTCTGAATAGTACAATATCAGTACACAGGCAGATAGCACTTAATAACAGGGGGATGTACTGTACATATATACCTGGTGGCTCTACTCCAGCAGCCGTAGGGCTGCAAAAACGAATTGATTTAATCAACGATAATCGATAATGATAATTGTTGTTAACAATTCTCATTATTGATTAGTTGATTACAATTAGTTGAATCTCCACCTCTCTGCTGCTGTGTCCCCTTCAATCAGAGGGAACACAGAGCGCTGCAGCCGGAACCCAGCGGGAAGTAGAGACTGCTGTGCCTCATGCCTCCTCCGCTGCTGTGATCCGTCCCTCTGCTGCTATGTCCCTGTTCCTCAGCTGCTGTGCCCCCATTACTCAGCTGCTGTGCCCCCATTCCTCAGCTGCTGTGCCACATCTATGTCAAGACCTCCACGCTTGGCTCCCAGTCCATCCACAAGATATGGAGCTTGAAGTCCCCCAAACTCTGTTAAAAGCCTTTCTCGGCATGACGATGCGTCACCACTTTTAAGCGAGGTGGGGGGTGGGGTGTATGTTAACCTTTTCAGATACTCGGACAGCATGCATCTGGGACACTTGGGTGCAGGAGGTGGTATCTCAGAGCTACAAATTGGAATTTTTCTCCTCCCATTCCCCTCCTCGGTTTCTCACCTCACTGCAAATTTTACAGGTTTGTCTTCAGGTACAGAGGCAATGGATTCTCTGGTGGCTCAGTGGGATCAGTACACTTTGATCTATACCTTTTTTGCCTTGAAGCATCTTCCCTGTGTAAGTTGAAGGGTATTTTGAGAACACGCATTGCTCCAGACTGGCAAGGGTGGATGTGGTACACTGACCTGGAAAGACTCCTGGCAGACTCTCTGTGGACCCTGCCAGATCGTCAGGATCTTCTGCTAAAAGCACGATTTTCATCCTGCTTCACGGTCACTGGTCTTAACAGCATGTCTATTGAAGCCCGGGTTTTGAGAGACAGAGCATATGTGAAACTGTGACTCCTATGAGGCTAAAGGCTAGGAAGGCTACTTCCTCTAAGGTCTATCATTGGCTGTGGAAGGTATACTTTACTTGGTGTGAACCTAGAGGTTTTTCCCTGGGACAAATCCTCTCCTTTCTGCAGCTGGGTCTGGACCAGCAATTGACCCTTAATACCATTAAGGATCAGGTTTCTGCCCTATTTTGTTTCAGAAGCTATTGGCCCCTCCCTCTTCAATTAAGACCTGTGTAGAGGGAATCTCTCATGTGGCTCTTCCTGTTCGTTGCTCAGTGATTCTGTGAGATCTGAATCTAGTTCTTTTTGTGCTTCAGAAACCACAGTTTGAACCCATCAGGGACATTCCTCTATTTATTCCTTGTAGCCATCACCTCTGTGAGTGTCTGAACTGGCAGTTTTATCCTGCAAGGTTTTGCATAGGTACAAGGTGGTGTTGAGGTCTAGTACTTGCTTCTTGCTTAAGTTAGTTTCTGACTTTCATCTCAACCAGGATATTGTTTTTCCATCTGTCTCAAGTTCACCAAACAAAGTTCCACGTTCCACTTCATTGTCTGGATGTGGCTTAGGCTATGAGAATCTTAGCCACTGCTTCTTTCAGAAATACTTATTCCCTCCCTGTAATTCAGGGTGGACCCCGCAAGGGTTCATCGGATTCCCGTTCCACTATTTCTTGGTGGCTCAGTCATAGCATCATCTCAGCGCATGGTCCTAAGGATTGGGTTCCACCCTATCCTGTCAAGGCAGACTCTTTTAGATCTAGGTCTGTGATCTGTGTTTTGGGCCTGTCCCTCTATAGTTCTTAGTGTTGTTTTCTTTGGCCTGTTAGTGGTTGTTTGCTGCCCCCCTCCAAGTTGCACTGCTTTAGGACATTTCAAAGGTGAAAGGCTTCCTGTGTCTCTCAATGGACGAGAAAGAGAATTGATTTGTTGTACTCATCATAAAATCCTTTTCTTGGAGACCATTGAGGGGCATAGGTTCCACCCCTATGTGTTTATGATCATGCTTTCCTTACTGTTTTGCTACAAAACAAAGGCATGCTGGTAGTAGGAGGGGTTATCCTGGGCTGGGAAAAAAATCCATCCCCACCTGACAGCTACCAGTTGGTATTACTAGACTAATGTGTTCCATAAAGCATTGTACAAAACAAGTCTAGCTCTGCTTCAACAAAGGCTATGCCCTAGCCTGATCTTACTGGTGTTGATATTTACTAAGCCTGTAGCATATGTTCAAAGAAAAAATGTCATCCAGATTCAAAACTAGAACCACCCAATATTCAGAATAAAACTCCGATAATGCGGGGTTTTTTTGGACAAAAAAGTACAAAAAATGCAGTATTAACATTAATGGAATTGGGGACAGGTTTGTACATGTTATATTTAGTTCAGCAATGGAAGATTAAATGTGGCCCTTTTGAATAGTTTTAGGGCTATATCTCTTAATAAAACCGACTGTCATATGTTTGACTGTATACCTTTCAAGCAGCATTGTTGATATCTATTAAACATTTTGAACAGCAGATCCCATTAACCATAGCTGGGATTTTCAGCTTCCCTGTCAGATTCTGAGCTTATGTGAAGTGCCCGCAGTGTAGGTACACAAACTTCACTCCTTCTTAATAAGGTATTTGGTGATTTTTCTGACACTTTATGTTTGTTTCTACAGGTCAAGAGGTATGGTGTTTGGGCCAGCCAATTTAGGAGAAGATGCGCTTACAAACTTTGTTTCCAAGCACCGCTGCAATTCCTGCTGCAGGAAGCTTAAACTTTCTGGTACATGTTTTAATTGTTTGATTATACTACCATCAACACTTTTTTTCTGCTCATTATGTTGTTGAAATGTGTAACTTCTGCTTAATTTCCAGTGCAGTGCTGACATTCTGCTTTCAAGATTATAAAAATATTCTGTGAGGAGTCTAGGAAGGGATTTACTTAAGAGCTGCTCAGAGAAGAGATTAAACAGCATTGACACTTTTACATTAAATGAGGCACATGATGAGACAGTCTTTCATTGCTGCTGAGTCTATTAAGTACAGCTGCTGCGCGCCTGCCTCTCTGCCCTTGGCCTGTCAATCATTTTTAAGAAGAGGCCTAGTGCCAGTGCTGCCATAACCAGCCATGCAACACAAAATTATATTAAAGTGACCCCTACCGTGTCAGGAGGGCGCGCACGGTGTTAACAATTCCGTTATTAAACTCTTTATCCCTGTCTCTTATTTTAAGTCCCGTCTTCCCTCTGGAGTTTTGCTAAGATCATGCGGATCTTATATCCAGTTTATCTTTGGCGAGGCAGAGTCATGCAGTCCCACCTTTTCATTAGAGATGCTTGTTAACCTCAAGGGCGTTTTGCTGTATGTTTTCATACTTGTAATTGCATACCTTTTGAAGTGGGTCTAAGAAATCTAGTTTTTGTAACGCTTTATCTTTTGTGTTCTGCTTCTCTGAAGTGATGCTACCAAGGGCAGCATTCATTACATGCCGCTCCTGCCTCATACCCTTCAGATAAAGCCAACAATTTCCTAATTCACTAAAAAATAAATATGCCCATTTGCTGAAGCACACATTTTGTCATTAGAACACATTTTGCTTCTGTGATTAATGCTTACACTCGGTAAATTAAATTTCTGTTTGCAATAATTATATACAGTCAAGGAAGCAGCAGTATATAAATGGCTAAACAATTACTATAAACAAAAAAGTGAATGCACATTATAGATCTATTGGGGCTCTATTGTTAATTGCTAATCAGTTTAGAAAAGCACAAGACTAGAGAGTGAATTCTTAATTTCTATCCTTCAATGACTAGACATGCTTACAAGCCTATTATGCAAAACAGTAAAAAAAAGTATGCAAAGTAAAGCAACCAAAATGTAATGACTACATTATCATTTGACTACTAGTCAAATGATAATTTCTCATTGGCTGGTATTGGTTGCTACATATAGGATATCTCATTGTGCTGTGACCCTTCTGTTTATTATAGAGATAGATAGAGTATGGATTGGTTAGAACCACCTTTATGATTTTTTTGATCTGTGTGTGACTTTGCATATGTAGACAACTGAGGGTATATCTTTTCAATGTGAAGTACACCCCCTTTTAGACTGCTGTCACTGAAACAATATTCTTCCATTGGAAGATTTCCTCTCTATTCCTTTTCTGGTGACAACTCAAAATTTTGGATTTTCTTTCACTTTCATTGACAAGGGTCTCCAGGATACAAAAAGGGAATGAATCTCCCGAGCAGGGACACAGACAGCAGAAAAAAAATCCTGACAGGGGTTCTATCCCCTCTTCAACCTATCCAAAACTATAAAACATGGCTTTAGATACACTCCGTATTTTCATCCAAAGGATATCAGATGTTTATAAACCTGTCATGTGAGAAATGAAGGCTGCCATTGCTGACCACCTGCAATTCTAATCAAATCACTTCAATACTTTTCACTCACTGACCTGGAACAATTAAAGCTAATCTCCAGCCAGGAACTCACCACCACTAACCTTTTTCTCTCCCACCCCTTATGCCCCAGTAGATGAAAAAATAAATCTAAATGCCCAGAATACTTACCTAAATCCATGGTCTTGTGACATGCCCAAGTCTACTCTCTTCTGGACTGCAGAGTAGGGAGGTCTTTCTGGTGTCTACATTGCTGGCTGGTGATGTGGAGATTTCTCATTGACTGCCCATCAGTGTGATGACGCTACAACTAGTGGCTGTAGTAGATTATTGGTCTTCTTTCTTGGAAAAGACACCATTGAGCAGATATATGTGAGTAAAAAAAGGCTTTAACTTTGTTCATTCTGTTACCTAGATTAGCAATCCTTACTGAAAAGCTAGGATTTGCTCCAGAAGAATATGTGTAGTGTAATTGTAAATGGTAAAGCACTACAATTTAAGGCATTTTAATCCTTCTAGTTCTAGTTAATGCAGTAACATGTATGTATCTAGTTTCAAAAAATGATATTGATGTAGTAAATATGTAATATATAATATAGTCTCACAGTAATAGGCTGAGAGGGTTGTAATAACCGCTTCTAAGAAATATACCACAATGGTCAAGATAAAAGAATGTAGAGGCCTGGATGATGGTGTTCTAATTATATCTATTTTAAACCACAACAAAACCAGCTCGGAGTTTCATAGAGTATGTAAATATGCCCCTCATAGGATCGTTTGTAAAATATGTGCTGCGTAAAATAGAGCTGAGTAGGATGAGGTTAATCACCTTGTTTCTCCCCTGAGTGCTTTTCATAAACTAATGAATCCTTTAGGTGCGTTTGAAGATACTCTCTGTATCTTTTCATTGCATTTGCCTTGACACTGAGAATATTGTATACTTAGTGAATAAATATAATTTCAGGATTATTTAATACTATAGTGCAAACAGCAATAACATGTTGACGCATGGCAACTATTCAGTGATTAGACAGTTCTCATTTAGGCAGTATGCTTGTGGATAAAGGCATGTGTGTTGGGTTGCTGTGGGAATAAGAGAATTATTTTATTGTACATTTGAGGGACACTGCTTGATGATAATTAAGAAACCTGGAGTTATACTGCTGCCTACAGGAGAAATGGACTCTAGGCACAAGAAGACTGCAGGCTAGCCCCCTCATGGCTGTGACACCTAACCCCTCACACCTGCTCAGTTTTGCTTAATGTCCTTAGAAGAATGTATGTTTTTTCCTATATGCTATATTTTTCACTTGAATTATAAGATTTTTTTTCTATTTTTGTTTTATATTGTCAACAGCAACTGGTAGATTCACGGCAGACATTGGAAATCTTAGATGTCTTTCCAGTTAGCCAACAAACACAGTTTTTTCCTGTTGGTTAAGTATACTGGGGTTCTCTCTGCAATGGACCCTCAGTTGATAGTGACAACCTATCTGCATTCCAGTTAGCAAAAGGCTCCGCTATTTAGGTCAGGCCAGTATATCTGAGGATCCCTAGCTGAGTTATTGGGTCCCCACCTCTAAAGACTCACATTTGTGAATGGTTGTCAGGTTGGATGTCTGGATTTTTTCCTCTTATTTGTACATTGTTTATAGGCTCTTCCTACAGAAGATGCTATATCTACTGGGAAGTATGTGAGAGAAATACTAATTTCTACCTTTTTTAACTATTGTACTTTCTATATTCCAATATAGGTTTACCGGCTGGACATTGTACGTTTTGACTCACCTGTTACAGCTGTAATCTTCATGCTGTAACTGGCTAAACTGTTCTGACAGCTAAGAAGGGATACCCTCCTTTTCATTGTTTCTCTTGGGGAGATCTAGCCACATTTTACTGTACTCCTGTGCCCTCAGTGGCCGGCACTGTTTATGTCCGATCGATAATTAAGATTTTCCACCGTTTTCTTGTTGGCTGTGACTTGCTTACTGACTTACTACTAAATTGGAGTAATCCTGCCTGCACCAGTCCCTTTCTACCACTGTCTTCGGTCTTCTCCATCTTTGAGGTATTTCAGTCATTATATACTTGGACAAATTGCTGCTACAAAAGCACACCTCTCTATCACTCACACTGTGAACCTTGGAGGACTTCGGTTAGATCCTGAACATTGAGAAGTAATTCCTTATTCCACCACATTGCTTGGATTACTCGGACCTTCTCTTGGATATCTTTCAGGCCAAGGTATCTCTGCCCCAGGAGAAGTTGGCGGAACTGCAGAATCAGGTTTAGCAACTTCAATCCCAACATGGCGGAAAGGCATGCGAGTGCTAGGATTGATGGTTTCAAGCTTTGCAGTGGTTCCATTTGCTGAATTCCACTCAAGAACTTAACAAGGAACAATTCTTACGGCCTGGAATGAATGCATTTTTTCTCTTGACATGCTGATCCAGCTACATCCTCAAACTAAAATGTCTTTGTCATGGTGGCTTCTGTCCCTGGTATTATTGGCAGATTTTGTTTCTCCCCTTACAATGGAAGATTTTAAAGATGAATGCCAGTCTTCTAAGTGAGAGCAAAGTTCTGCCTTTTTAATACTAAAACTAAGTTCTGTCTGTTTAGGGTCATTAGTCTCAGGAAGAATTGAACCTTCCAACTACATTGTAGAGTTCTGAGCAGTTCGCCTGTGGTTAGTTTCTTCTCCACCCTGAATGGTCATCAGACAATGACACAGCGGTGCCTTACATACATTTAGGGGCCACCAGGAACATTGCAGTAGTGACAAATATAAAGTCTATTCTATCTTAGACAGAGTTTCACGTTCCAGCAATTTATGTGGTGCATATTACTATGGTGGAAAACTAGCAGACAGTTTTCTCAACAGTAAGTGTTCCAGGAAATATGTCTGCATTGGAGGATGCTGGATGTGAATCTGCTAGTTTTTCGGTTCAACATGCAACTGGTCAGTATTTTCTCAAGATCGCGTGATATGATGGTGGGTGCAGCAGATGTCCTGGTGATGTTGTGGGACAGTATACCCTGATCCTCCATCGCATTTCCTGCACTGCGCCTTTTACCTTTTTACCTTCTCTGTTTCGAAGGTTCAAGACCAAGCATTCTATTTATCCTGGATTGGCCTAGAGTGTGGTATACAACTTCATTTGTCTGGTAGCCAATACTCGGTGGCCTCCACCAGATCATCCAGATCTAATCTCTTAGGGACTACCCTGCATCTTGCTTGCTGGCTTTGACGGCCTGGCCATTGAAGCCCAGGTTTTTTTTAATTCATTTATCGCGACCATGCTCAAAGCGCGTAAATCTTCCTCACGTAACTCCTATTTTCACCATACCATTATACCATAATGTAGTCTTCTTGTGGGCACCATTTTGGTGAGTTATTAGCATTGCCCAGTAAGAAACCCCCTTTTTCCTTATGTAACATGAGGTTGGTTTGAGACCAAGGACCTCTTTTTTTTTACCCTAAGTGGTCTCTGCCTTTCACCTTGAAGAATATATTATGTTACCTTCCCTTTGTCCAACACCAGATTTCTGCCTATTGCTTAGATGTTGTAAGGGGTTAAAGAATGGACCACTTTGGCTTATTAGGATTGGATTGTAAGGTAGGCAGACATCACAGAGAGTCTGTGTACTGACACACTCTTGAGGAAGTTTGGAAGTGACAAAGCGCTTTGGAATGGGTCAGTGACAGCATCGCGTTTGTTGGGTATGCTCCTCGTATACCAGGAGAGGAGGAGAAACAGGTGATTTGGCTGGTGCTGGTATTGCACCATAAATAGAGTTTTTTTTTTTTTTTTATTTGAATAAAGAAACTGTTTTACACTATGGAGATTATCCTTCTTTTTGTAACACATTAATGTAGAGTACTGGTGCGTTAGCCATGCTGAATTAAAACTTGATTAGCAGCCTGTGCAGAGAAGAACCCCACGATTTAGGTGGGTGGGGGGATTTCGATTTGACCATGTTTCATCTTACACCCTGAATATGTATGTATCATGAAATATGGTCATAAAAGTCAACTTAGTCTTTAACCGGGGGGGCATGGAGGGGCTAAGAGAGCACAAAGAATTTTTATTACAGCACAGGTTACATCTGCTGTGGAAAAATAGTGTTTGCTATTGGTTGCCATAGTTTACATCTATTATGGACTGCCCTTATTGAACTTTGCGCTTTAATTTATTTTTAATTTATGGATGTTTAATATCTATTATACACATAAGGCACTACTATACAGACTGATTATTACTGGACACATACAGTATATTATGTACTTATATTTACCATCACAAAGTATTAACAGCAACAGGAAATATATGATAATGTGAATGCATATTATTTACTTATTCACATGAATACTCCATTTATTTACATGATTGTTTAACATCGTTAATATTACTTATTGTTTTTATTAATCACTGGTTTCACTATTTTATACTTCACTCAAGTATTAACTTTCTTCACCTACAGACTTGAACAGAAATGACTACTCACCCGGAAAAGTCAACCTAGGGTTTGAAATTGAAGAAGCAGACACAGATGAAGACAACCTGGAATATAATACAAAACTCTAAGACAGCAATGTTACCCAGCTATAAGCAGGGCTTTGTACCCAGGACATTAGTGTATAATGGATGGACTGGCACTATCAGTCAAACAAGCAGGAAGGGATAATATTTATTTTCGGAATATAGAACAGCTAAACTGAATCTTGTGTTGTTGCCACTGGAGAATTATCTGTTATTTGTATTAAAAATATCTATATCATTAGTACTGTCTTTCTAAGAATCATCATAATTTAACAGTTACCCTTTACATGTGGAGTGATGACATATTTAGTAAGTGTAGTGTGATGTGATTAACTATAGGAAGAAATCAGATTTTAGCTTTCATTAGCGAAGAGCTGTGAGAATGTAGAAATATTATTTCTAATAATAAGTGGTATGGGTTACTGACCTTTACACAAAATACTTTACTTAAAAAAAAGTAGTTTTCAAATAAAAATCAACTATTTATTTCTGAAATGTGCAAAATAGATGCAGTACAACTATAATGCTCACTGGCCTCCTCTAAAAAAACATTGTATATCAGTAGTCTGTTGAGTACAATAAATCAACAATGCAGATTTGTTTTCATGCATTTACTTTATATTATACTTATACAGTATAGATAAGACAAGACAAGATTAGACAATTAGACAATGTGGGATTCAATTTAAGAAAGGTACTGGAGTTGGCTCACAAGTTCTGAGCCATAGTAAAAACTCATATTACTTGTTATTGAAAAATCCTGAGAAGGCATATTTGCCTTGTGCTGATAGCTTAAATTGTACTTAGCATTAGAACTATGGCTAATTGGTCTCAATGTTGCATAACACATTTGCTGACTGTGACTGCTTCAATCTTATAGGGCAGGAAAAGACAGCATAAGACTGCAAGCTAGAGCTCTGAAAGCAAGCCTAGGCCTAGACATTGGAAACCCCATTTTAAAGATGACATTGCACATACCCAGATTTTCTCCTCTGTGAACTTTTCTAGTGCTGTTAGAACACTGTGGGTGCCGTCATGTTGAATTCCTTTGAGGCAACTCTATTTGCTGAATCATAGCTATCCTGTAAACACCCAACACAAGCTGATAAGCCAGCTCCCATGAGAGCCTCTGTTTACATTACACTGGCTGTCAAGAAATTAGAAGGAAGCTGAGATGAAAAGGCTGTAGCATTACAGATGGAAAAGAGAGTGAGCAGGGTTACCAGGGCAGCCCAAGAGAGCGACTTGCTGGAAACTCCACAAAGCATTACTCCAAAGTGTCTGAGTGATCCAGTGGAGTCAGGGGGAGCTTGCTTTCAAGTACTTTAAAGCTATGTTTGCAAATGTAATTAATTGCTATCCATAGCTTGGCCACAGCTTCTCCTTAAAAGATATGTGCACTTTCAGAAAAAGTATAGTTATCGATTTTGCCCCACCTACTTAAGATCCCTTTACCCTTTATCTAAGCTATCACTGCAGCAACTTTCCATCCACTGGGACATACCTCCTGTATGGATTGTGTGCCTTGATAATCTCAAAGTGCTGAATCTTGCTGTGTGCCATAGACAAGCATATGAACCACCAGCCAGTCATGCACTCAGAATCCATCTTTGTCTGTGAAGGCAAATTAATTTGCCCTTAACCTTCCTGGCGGTAATCCCGAGTGTGGTTTGGGGTTAATTTTCAATACCAAAAGCGGTAACTCTGAGCCACACACGGGATTACACTGTGCGTCACTTACCTTGTCTCTACGAGCCCCGCTGGGTCCTCCGGCCGATGCCGGCATCTGTCTTCCGAGTTTCCTCCCTTGCTAGTTCCCACGTCGCAGGGGGGCGGAACCGGCGGGAAATTCAAAAGTAAAATATATTACAAAAACTAAAGAAAATTGAAAAAAAAAGAGAAAAAAATACCCAGATAATCAGACCACCAGGGAGGTTAAGCAGGGAACCTTAACACATTCTTACAGAACGTATATATTTATATTTACTTCAGAAATAGTGTTGGAAAGGAATTAATTCTCCATTTACTTGGTTAGAAACATTAAAGTTGTACCTTTGCTTTCCACATGAAGAAGAAATATTTTAAAAAGTATATTCATAATCATAAGCATACTAATAAAATTGCAGTAAGTACAAAATGTCAAATAGGTTAAAACTGTTTGCAGAAGAACATATGTAAGAAAACCTATTTATTAGATACCAAAATATATACAGTATTATAGTGTATACTTGTTTTCTACCTGAATAAGGAACCAAATATTTTACTGATGTCAGTGATTTTGTAATAGGTCAAAGGAAATAATGCAGATAACCATATACAGTTAAGATCTTAGAGGTATGCCTGTGATAAATTAAAAACATTGCTGACTCTACTTGACTTCTCTGTGACTGTTGTATAGCACAAACTGTTTACACTGTTCTGTTTTAATAAAGATTGTCTTATTTTCAATGTATTTGTTTAAAGGCAAGGAAACCACACTTTAAGGCAGACTACAAATAATATCTTCAAATATGCATGTAAATGTATCTGTACAAAACATGAGACGTGTATGTGGCTTTGTAATATTTTCAGCTAAGGAAAACTTGCGAGAGATTCGTTGACTTTCAATAGGTATAGTAGGCAACATCATGGCCTATACACAGCCTGATATTTGCAAGGGATACCACTAATTCAAGGATTGTCTGCAGCAGAGTGCATGAGTAACAGTGTAGTGTCTGAGGTACACATTTGGCTTGATTTACTAAAGGCAAATAGGCTGAACACTTTGCAAGAGAATTTGCACTTAGCAGGAGAAGTTTGCCCTTAGTTTAGTGAATGAGAAGAAGCCCTGCTGACTTCCATCACCCATCATGTTCCACTCATCATGTTAAAAAGAAAAAAATGCAGCTTTTTATTTTCCTTACACATTATTTGGTATTCTTTACAAAGTGAAGTTTCACAACACGAATTAAGCTAAGGGAAACTTCCCCTGCAGAGTGCAAATTCCCTTGCAAAGTGAACAGCCTATTTGCCTTTAGCAAACCAAACCCATCATCTCACACATTGATTTCAATTCCTAACTTTTAGTTTAAGTTGTCTTCTTATCCTGAATGAAACCTTCATGTAGTAACTACCATACTACTCAGTAGTGATGAGCTGAACAAGCGGTTCATTGAACTCATCATAAAGTGTAAACTTTAATCCGAACCCCACTGAAATCTACTGAGGGGAAAATCAATTCTGACCTTTTTCATGTCTAATAGGCAAGCTATTGTCAAACAAAGGGCATGTGGAGCTGGCCACTGGCATAGTGGACATGTCCCAATGCAAAAATTAATAAATAAAAACACCATGCTATGAGAGGATCCTCCTTTTTACTTTACCTAGAGGACAACATTGGAAAAACATCAATCATTGAAAGCAGACCTTCACACTTAAATGCTACTTCCCCCTATAACATAATCACATGTGATTTATTTTTGGGGGGAGAGAGCAACTTTTTCTGTATAGAATCACTGTACATAGCACTTTTCAGCAGCACTTCAAAATATAGCAGCAACTATATTTCCCTGCAGACACTCTGTCAGCACTTCCTATCCTTTGCAGGTCTCTCCAACATGACACAAGGCTGCTGGGAACCCTGACTTGTATAGAGAACAGAAGAAAACCCCTTTTATTGTCCCTTCTAAGCCAACTGAGCACAGTTATGAAATGTGATGCTGGTAATTGTTTGCTTTTGCAATTTTCCCAAACTGTAAACAACTCGGGTTTGGGTTCATTCATATCTGACCCTGAACTGAAGCTCGTGCTTACTACTCAGCTAAGGCATATACAGGCTTAAGAAACAGGGACTAACTAAGTAATTTAGCCATACAGACATGCCCTCTGTACAGCTAAATCTACTCAGTTATCTCCTGTATCTTAAGTAACCCTTACTATTAGCAAAAGCATGCATGCTTAGACTTTGATATGAACATTGTAAGTGTTTCCAGACGTAACACAATAACTTTTTGATTAAGGTATATACTACTTTAGTTGAAACTTTAATAAAACTGTTTTAACTATGAAAATAATATCCTTCACTAAAGGACATTGCTATAAATCCAGCATAAAAGCAATAGCTAGCCTCAGGTGACAATTTTCTCTCCTTGGTGTTAATAATAAAGTTATTTACTGTACGTTTTATGCTAGTGGAAAGCATCCTTAATATTTTAAATGGTCATTATTCCTAATAATATGCATATAATCTCATTAATGCATATGCATTATAGTCATAGTATGAAAGGACAAGGCCATAAAAAGAGCAGGTACAGTCATATCTGTGGATTCTTGACAGATATGGAGGTCAATTAATCACAAGTTACATAGTCAGATTCTACATTAAATGAAGGGTAGGTAACCAGTGAAATGTTCTGTGCAGGTCTTGTATATATAAACTTTCCAGTCTACCTATTGATACTGTGGATTTTCTCCAAAATGTAAAGCTTTTAAAGAAGCTTATTTTTCCAAAATGTAAAGATTTTAAAGAAGCTTCTTTCTCCGAAATATAAAGAAATTAAAGACGCTTTAGGTAGGAAGTATTTCAGCAGGGCTTTTTTTTTTCAAATTGGTCTGGTAACATTTAAAATAACTGTTACAGACAGGGTCTAAAAAGACTGAATAACCCAAGAAGTAGACAAAATATACAGTATATATTAGTATAATCTTTGCAATGTCTTTTTGTTGTATTTGACTAAAAAAAGAAACCAAAACAATTTAGACAAAGATTTTGAAATATTTCCACCAAGTTGAAGAAGCGTTTTACAAGGTGATAGAGCAGATTTATTAAGAATGTCTGCATACATCTAGAAGAAATCCAAAATCCCACAATCAGGCAAAACATCTGTTTTAGGTGGATGACCTTACCAGAAAGAAATAATAAATATACAGACTGACATACTGTATAAAGGGAACATTGCCATAATATCCAAAGGTGCATCCGGAAATTATGGCACTAACTCATTCATGTCCCCTTGTTGTAGATGTGTGTGTTGGCAAGGCTAAATATCTGTTGTTCTCACAGCACAGATGGGTCTTGACATAAGGGAATAAAAGGCTTTAAGACT